TGTTTATAAAAATTTCTTGCTGTCTGTTTTATAAATTCCGAATAAATACTAATTACCTGTAATAAGAGATATCTTGCTCAAAGCTCAGAGGAGAATGTTTGATATGCACTCACCTGAATTAATGCATGATTATCTTTAGAAAACACGGAATCGCCCGAGAGCAAGACAGGCTCGCTTTTCTCACAGCTCTCCTGGCTGATGAGCGTGTCAGCGTAGTTGGGCTGCGGGAAGATCACGTGACTCCCCCGCGAGTCCGCTGTGAGCGAGACCTCGTGGGAATAGGTCTGCAGGAAAGTCCGCACCCCGTCCACGCCCACAAAGTGAGACGTGGGCACACCCGCTAACCCGTCTCCTGAAGCCTTGAGCAGGCGCGACGTGTGCCAGCGCCTCAGCCTGAGCGCCAGCAGCACAATGACAAAGGCGAGGAAGACACAGGAGACGGCAGCCACCGCCACCACCAGGTACAGCGTGAGGTCCGAATTGTCGGGGCTGACGGGAGACTCAAGGCTGCCTAGATCAGCCAGGACGTCGGGGATGCTGTCCGCTACTGCCACTGTGAGCGTGACGGTGGCAGAGAGAGGGGGCTGCCCGTGGTCCTGGACCGCCACCACCAGGGTCTGCTTGAGTGTGTCACTGTACAGCAGGGCCCTCGCTGTGCGCACCTCGCCCGTGTGCAGCCCCACCGCGAAGAGCCCTGGCTCGCTGGCCTTGAGGAGGCGGTAGGACAGCCAGGCGTTCTGGCCCGAGTCTCTGTCCACAGCCACCACCTTGGTCACCAGGTAGCCGGGCTCTGCGGAGCGGGGTGCCAGCTCCACGCCCATGGAGCCATCGGTGGGTACGGCGGGGAAGAGGATCTCTGGCGAGTTGTCGTTCTGGTCCATCACGAACAGGCTCAGCGACACGTTGCTGCTGAGTGGAGGGTCCCCGCTGTCATGTGCCATCACTTGTAGCTGCAAGTCTCGGAATTGCTCATAGTCGAAGGAACGCAACGCATACAGGACGCCAGTGTCTGAGTTTATGGAGACGTAGGAGGACAGGGGAGCTCCCTGGAGGCTGTCCTCCGCCAGGGAGTAAGTGACCTGGGCATTCTCTCCATAGTCGGGGTCATGGGCAGTCACAGAGACGATGGACGCTCCTCTGGGGTTGTTTTCTAGGATATATGCGGAGTAGGAGGCATGAGAGAAGGCGGGCGGATTGTCGTTGGTGTCTGCCACGTTCAGGGTGATGTGAGTTTCCGTGGACAGGGGCGGACTTCCTCGGTCAGTGGCAGTCACCGTGATGTTGTAGCTAGGAACCAGTTCTCGGTCTAGGAGTGTGTCTGTTACTAAACTATAATAATTTCCATAAGCCTTTTCTAATTTAAAGGGCAGATTCCCTTGGATGAAACAAATCACTTGTCCATTTTCCCCAGAGTCTTGATCGTTTACATTTAGAAGGGCAATTAACGTCCCTCTGGGAGAGTTTTCCAGAATGGAGCTGGAGAGAGAGGTGACTGCTACTTCAGGGGCGTTATCATTCACGTCCAAAACTGTGATGAGGACTTTGGCTCGTGCAGAATATCCTGCGTTATCCATTGCTTGCACTTCCATCTCGTAGAATCCTGATTCCTCGTGGTTCAACTCCCCTATTGTTGAAATTGTTCCTAAATTACAATCTAGCTTGAAAAGTTGGGCCGCTTTGTTGTCCACATACCGGAAGGAATACATCACTTCCGCGTTGGCTCCTTCGTCAGGGTCGGTGGCGTTTACCAGAAGCAGCTCAGTGCCCACGGCCACATTCTCCGGAACGCTCACACGGTACTCGGACTGAGCAAACGCTGGTGCGTTGTCGTTCACATCAACGACCATCACACGGATGCGCGCGGTGCCAGTGCGGACTGGATAGCCCGCGTCGGAAGCCGTGAGAACCAGGTGGTGAACGGCCTTTTCCTCGCGGTCCAGGGCGCGCTCCAGCACCAATTCCGGATATTTATTACCATCCGCTCCGCTTTGCACGTCCAGGGAGAAGTGAGTATTACTACTGAGCTCATAGCTCTGGAGTGAATTCTTCCCTATATCCGGATCCCAAGCGTGGGGAAGGGGGAACCGCATCCCAGTGGCTGCATTTTCACTCATCTTTATTTCTAATTCACCTTCCTGGAAATACGGGGCATTATCATTAATGTCCCTCACTTCTACCACTACCCCGTATATTTTCACTTTATCCTCCATCAGAATCTCCAGATTTAGTTGACACTTGATGGCCCCCATACAGAGCTCCTCCCGGTCTATCCTGCCGGCAGTGACCAAGCTGCCGCTTCGCGGATTCAGAGCAAAAAGTTGTGTCCTACCTCTGGAGACGATGCGGACTCCGCGCTCCTCCAGTTCCCAGGGCTCCAACCCCAGATCCTTGGCGATGTTCCCCACCCTAGAGCCTTTCTCCAGCTCCTCAGGAACCGAATAGTGGATTTGGGTGCATCCAGTTTCCCACTGAACCCCCAGGAGAACTCCCAGCAGGACCAGCTTTTTGCAGTCCTGGTGCAGTCGCGCAGGAATCATTGTCACTTTCCTTGAGGATTATTTCCAATTCTTCCCTTGATCACCGAAGTCCGGATCAGCGCATCCGTCCTTAAAATCCGACAGTTGGGGGACCCGAGCTCTTCCAATCAGTTTCCTCACAGCCCCGGAGATGGTTAGTTTCTATCCGTGCTTTGTGCTTCAACGCGAGTGCCCGGCTAGCAGGATCTCTGCTTTTCTCTCCCTGATTGGTGAACAGCGGCGCTCAGAGTCCTAACCAATTACTGCACAATCTTGAACTCCAGGAAAGGATTTTGGTTTTCAGACCTTAAATAGCTCCACCTACTGTTCTCCAAATAGGGATGGAAGTGGAACCAACCAAAACTACAGTATCCATTTTACTTGGAATTTCAGTGAGCTTCTTTTTATTGCCCTAGAGTTTTCATACAGAGTCACTTTCTTGAGATTATTTTCTGTACCTGTAGGCGTATTCTGATTTTTCCAATGAGCTTTTACATGAATTTGAAGTTTCTATACACAGTAAATTTAACTGTATATTTTAGTGCACCTGCTTTGATATCACCCCCACCACACATACACACCTATTATGGGAATCTCCTTAGGAGTTTCATGTTTTGAGAAATTATATAATAGAATAATTTAAAAATTCTCACCCAGCTAAAATCTGTGGCAAAATTTTTTGGTAGATTCTTAAATTTGCCCAAATGGAAGAACTACTTTAACATGTGGTTGACATTTAACATTTTAAAATCAAATTTTCACAATAATATGGAAACCTAAAAATAAGAAACTTGATTGTACACATTACCAGAATCACACCTCACAGGAAATCAAGTGAAGAAGACACAGTAACATTTTTAGAACAAAATGGAAGCATTCCAACTAGCATTTGCTTGAAATAAGGGTAGTACTCTACTAATATATTTCAAAAGAATATTTAGTTATCTTTGATAAAGGAGGCAGGAATATACAGTGGAGAAAGGACAGCCTCTTCAATAAATGGTGCTGGGAAAAATGGACAGGTACATGTAAAAGTATGAGATTAGATCACTCCCTAACACCATACACAAAAATAAGCTCAAAATGGATTAAAGACCTAAATGTAAGACCAGACACTATCAAACTCTTAGAGGAAAACATAGGCAGAACACTCTATGACATAAATCACAGCAAGATCCTTTTTGACCCACCTCCTAGAGAAATGGAAATAAAAACAAAAATAAACAAATGGGACCTAATGAAACTTCAAAGCTTTTACACAGCGAAGGAAACCATAAACAAGACCAAAAGACGACCCTCAGAATGGGAGAAAATATTTGCAAATGAAGCAACTGACAAAGGATTAATCTCCAAAATTTATAAGCAGCTCATGCAGCTCAACAACAAAAAAACAAACAACCCAATCCAAAAATGGGCAGAAGACCTAAATAGACATTTCTCCAAAGAAGATATACAGACTGCCAACAAACACATGAAAGAATGCTCAACATCATTAATCATTAGAGAAATGCAAATCAAAACTACAATGAGATATCATCTCACACCAGTCAGAATGGCCATCATCAAAAAATCTAGAAACAATAAATGCTGGACAGGGTGTGGAGAAAAGGGAACACTCTTGCACTGTTGGTGGGAATGTAAATTGATACAGCCACTGTGGAGAACAGTATGGAGGTTCCTTAAAAAACTACAAATAGAACTACCGTATGACCCAGCAATCCCACTACTGGGCATATACCCTGAGAAAACCGTAATTCAAAAAGAGTCATGTACCACAATGTTCATTGCAGCTCTATTTACAATAGCCTGGAGATGGAAACAACCTAAGTGTCCATCATCGGATGAATGGATAAAGAAGATGTGGCACATATATACAATGGAATATTACCAGCCATAAAAAGAAACGAAATTGAGCTATTTGTAATGAGGTGGATAGACCTAGAGTCTGTCATACAGAGTGAAGTAAGTCAGAAAGAGAAAGACAAATACTGTATGCTAACACATATATATGGAATTTAAGAAAAAAAATGTCATGAAGAACCTAGGGGTAAGACAGGAATAAAGACACAGACCTACTAGAGAATGGACTTGAGGATATGGGGAGGGGGAAGGGTAAGCTGTGACAAAGCAAGAGAGAGGCATGGACATATATACACTACCAAACGTAAGGTAGATAGCTAGTGGGAAGCAGCCGCATAGCACAGGGAGATCAGCTCAGTGCTTTGTGACCACCTAGAGGGGTGGGATAGGAAGGGTGGGAGGGAGGGAGACACAAGAGGGAAGAGATATGGAAACATATGTATATGTATAACTGATTTGCTTTGTTATAAAGCATAAACTAACACACCATTGTAAAGCAATTATACTCCAATAAAGATGTAAAAAAATAAATTAATTAAAAAATAATTAAAAAAGAATATTTAGGATCAATACCCTATAATAAGCCATGATGGAAAAGAATATGAAAAAATATACATATATATATATATGGTATATGAATGACTTTGCTATACACCAGAAACTAACACAACATTGTAACTCAGCTATACTTCAATTTAAAAAAAAAGAGAGAGAGAGATTGTTTAGGAAAAATAGAACCCAAAGAATATTATAAGCTTACCTTTTTCTGGGAAACAAACCTAATTCCAGTTACTGAGATCACTGGTAATACACTGGAAGCCCATCAGAATACAGGAAAAAATCCTCACTATTGTGCTTTCATGTGTGTAAATATTTAGATTCTGAGGATAAACATGTTTGGCAGGTATACCATAAAATAATATCTTTAACACTGGGATGAAATCTACAGGTAGCTCTGAGAAAAGGTAGGGCACAAAACTGATCTATTCAATGGCACTCAGAGAATCCCTAGCAAATTGTACCTAGAGTAAAGCAAAGCCTTAAGAAAAGCCTTATATGCCAAGATATTGATGTTCTGAATAAGAGAAAGGCCCACAGGAAAAAAATATTATGCTTCCATTAAAATATTTGAATGGCAGCGGCATCATAATACCCACTTCTCACAGTAAGAGATTTTGTTTGTGGATAAAGAATAACTCATGAAATTGTCAAAATATTTAAAATACTTGAGGGTTAATAATGGAGTAACTGACCCACTGAGAAAGGGACAGAAAAGACTGAGAGAGGGCAAACAAAACTGAAGTGATAGTAGATATAATCTGTTTAAGATTTTCTTTCCTAAATATTGGTTTAAAAAATAAACCAAACCCATATGCAGATGAAAGGCATTCATTGACACGTAAATGGAAGCAACAGAGCTAGAGTTTAACTTGTTATTCTCCTCAGTGACACTACTAAAAGAGCTTCATTAGAAAGATCTTGCGGAGGCACCATTTCTGGGGTCATGGTGAGAAAACTGAACCTTGTTTTCTGAGAATCGACAACGTAACAGATTGTAGGAATAAGGCAAGGTTCCCTTGTTGTAGTTCGGAGAAACCACTGGACCAGTCTTAGAACAGAGATCAGGCTGAAAGCAGCACCAGGTGGCCAGGCTAGAGGTGCGTCGCAGGCGCAGAGCAATGGCCAGAATCACCACGAGGAGGAAGAGCACCAAGATCAAGGCCAAGGTCACCACCAGGTAAAACTGCAGCTCAGCCTGGGGGTCAGTGGGCTCAGAGTGGTCACTGAGGTCCGGCAGCGCCTCCTGCAGACTGTCCGCGAAAACCAGGAGCAGCGTGGCGGTGGCCAAGAGGGGCGGCTGTCCCCCATCGCGCACAGCAACCAGCAGGCGCTGGCGGGCCGCGTCCCTGTCGCCCAGGGCCCGCGCAGTGCGCACCTCGCCCGTGTGCAGCCCCACGCTGAAGAGTCCGGGCTCGCTGGCCTGCAGCACGTGGTAGGACAGCCAGGCGTTGTGTCCAGAGTCGGCGTCCACCGCCACCACCTTGGTGACCAGGTGGCCGGGCTGCGCGGCGCGCGGCGCCGTGTCGAAGAGCGCCGAGCCATCGGGCCCCAGCGCCGGGTACAGCACCCTGGGCGCGTTGTCGTTGCGGTCGCCCACCAGCACGCGCAGGCTCACGTTGGCGCTGAGCGTGGGTGAGCCGTGGTCGCGGGCCTGCAGCGTCAGCTCGAAGGCGCGCAGCTGCTCGTGGTCGAAGGCGCGCTGCGCGAACACCACACCAATCTGTGCGCTCACGGACACGTAGGACGACAGCGCGCGCGGCTCCAGGTCGCTGGCCAGGATGGAATAGGAGACGTGGCCGTTGGGCCCCAGGTCGGGGTCGGAGGCGCTGACTTGCGCGATGGAGGCTCCAGGCAGGTTGTTCTCGGCCACGTGGATCACGTAGGAGGCCTGGTGGAAAACTGGAGTGCTGTCATTAACGTCGCTGATGTGTAGAGTGACACTTGCGCTGGAGGAGAGTAGCTGCTTGCCCCTGTCGGTGTCTGCGATGGTGACTGTGTATTCTGGGGTCTGCTCCCGTCCAGGACCCCATCTGCCACAAGCTTGTAGTAATTATTGGTGGAAGATTCAATTCTAAAAGGAGCTCTCTCTTTTATGAGACATGTGACCTCCCCGTTTTCTCCCGAATCTTTATCATGTGTTTCGGACAAAGCAATCACTGTTCCCGGTTCTGCAACCTTGGTTATGGAACTAGACACCGAAGTGAAAACCACCTCTGGGCCACTGTCGTTCTCATCTAAAATGTTCAGTATAATTTTACACTTGGTGGCTATGCTTCCACTGTCCTGGCCTCTATGCTTATAGTATAACTGCTACTGCTTTCAAAGTCTATAGGGTCTTTGGATTTAATTTCTCCTCTTTGATGATCTAGCACAGACATATTCGCAATATCTCATAGTGTTCTGAAGGAGTAGGTGATCTCTGCACTGATGCCTTCATCCTGGTCAGTGGCCTTCACCCTTAGCACAAAGGTGCCTGGGGGCGAGTTCTCACGCAGGCTAACTTTGTACACATCCTGACTGAACACTGGGGGGTTATCGTTGGCATCAGTGACCTTGATCCTGATTTGAGTTTGCCAGTTCAAACCGGATCACCCCCGTCCACTGCTGTCAGGACCAGGAGGTGAGAGCTCTGTTGTCCCTGGTTCAAAGGCTTCTCCAACACTAATTCTGGGGAATTCTTGCCTTCAGTCTTACCCTCAACCATCAGAGAGAAATGCTCACTATAGCTGAGTTGGTAACTCTGCAGAGAGTTAAGCCCTATATCTGCATCTATAGTTGATTCCAGGCCAAACCGAGTTCCTGGAATTGCAAGTTCATTGATTTGTAAAACAATGCTATTTTGGGGAAAATGAGGTGGATTGTCATTTATATCTTCTATCATCACGTTTACGTGAGAAACATTTAGAGGATTCTCTGCTACAATTTCTAAAGGCACGACACACAGAGGGTTTTGGGGGGCAGGGTGACTCCCAATCTATTCTGTCACTCACAAGTACTTTCCCATTCTCCATGTTTACAGTAAAGTACTGTTTCTCTGCACTAACTCTGAGGTTGCGAGTCAATAAATCCCGTACATGCAGCCCCAGGTCCTCAGCGAGATTCCACACCACAAAGCCTCTGTCCATTTCTTCTGGAATAGAATAGCGGATCTGTTCGCAGAGCGCCCCGCATAACAAAGGCATCAAGAAAGGGAAGATTACTTGCCACCGCTGGGTACCGCTCCTCTGCTTCCCCTTATTTCCCATCCTTCTGTGCATTGCTGCAGGCTCCAACGTTAAGAAAAGATGATTTATAAATTTCGTTTAAAATACCCACATCGACTACATAGAAAACTCAATGCTCCCAGTTTGAACACATCCCAATCTGTATTTTGGAATCAGATTTGCCAAGTAGAGAGCCTGAGTCCAGGCTACTCTCCTTTCCGACTTGCTTCTGTGACTACACAAGAAATCACTGGGGTAGATACTGGACGCTAGCTCTTGCAGCGCATTGGCCAACAGCGGCCCTTGGAGTCTATTTAGAAAACTGCAGTCAGAAGCCTTGTAAATAATGGGATTTGGTATTCCAACAGATATGTTGAACTGATGTATATAGGGAATGAGGCAGTTTAGGAGTCTTGGATAGGTCTGTTTTCCAGTGTTTACTACCAAAGAGGGTTCCTTAGAGACGGGATCCTATAGAAGAGCCGTTAAACTAGTAATGAGAAAAGTCTGTCATTTTCTCATTAGAGGCAAGGCACATATTGGAAGAACAAGGCACAGTCTCCTCTCCAGATTTAGAACAAAGACCACGTGGAAAAAGAGCCCCACCATGTGGTATGAGGAAATTTTGACAGCCATGAAATGACACCCAGTATTATCTTCAATCTGATATGTGTATGATTTTCCTCCTCCTTTCATCAGAGGAAACTGGAGGAGAGATCAAAGCTGTATAGGTTTTACTCAGGATAAGGATACCAATACCATAAAGTCTTCTTGTTACTTATAAAAGAGATTTATGAAAAGGATTATGAAGTGTTTTACACTTTCATCATAAAGAGAATATAAAAGCATACCCTGGTAGGTTACTATAGGAATTTAATGACATGAAATGGGAGGGTTTTATTTTTATCCTTTTATTTAACTGTACCATACATTGCCTCTCAACAGAACTTTATCACTACCGCTAATCAAAACAACCTTCTTAATCTCAAGTGTCAAAACCAACATTTCCTTTTTATTCTCTAAGATCTTGGTTGCCAACTCCTAACAAGTTCAGACTATGTTAAAAAAAAATATGAAACAACCTCCCTCTTCCAGCAAACACCTCATATTCTTTTTATTCATCTAATTTCAGTTCAAGTAAAAGGCCTTAAATCTTTTTTCTCAGTTTGGAATCCCATAAGCATAAATTCTATCCCTAGATGCTCAAAACACTAACATTTTTCTTGATTTCAAGACAAATTTCGGCATCTGTTGCAGGACTTCCCTTTCCTACAGTTGAAATTCTTTTTGTCCAAACATTAGATACTCAATTTTTAGTTAACTATAGTAAGGTCAATTCTGAAATGAGAAGGGATATCTTGAAAGGGAACATGAACATGCAAGTAATTTGCACCAAATATCTAGAAGTGGTGTGAGAGTGCTGAGCTGAATTGACTGTGGAGATGATTCCTGAGATCAATACCCCAGATAAGTTTCCTTTCCCCCCTTGACTTTCCTAAACATTGCTGCAGATAACACATTATTAGGTAACTATCAGGGCTTCAATAACAAGTTGGTTCTGAATATAAGAATCGAGTATACTTATATTTAAAAAATGAGTTTACATGAAACTAACACAACATTGTAAATCAACTATACTTCAATTTTTTAAATGAGTTTACACACAGATTTAGAGAATAGACTTGTGGTTGCAAAGGGGAAGAAGGGGTGGAGGAGGAAAGGATTGGTATTTTGGGATTAGCAGATGCAAACTATTATATGGATGGATAGATAGACAACAAGGCCCTGCCGTATAGCACAGGGAACTATATTCAACATCCTGTGATAAACCATAACAGGGAAAAATATGAAAAAGAATATATACATATGTATAACAGAATCACTTTTCTGTGCAGCAGAAATTAATACAACACGGTAAGTCAACTACAATAAAATTTTAAAAAATGAGTTTACAAAAGAAATGACAAAAGGAATCCAAGACTCCTAAGCATAGTGAAAACAAACAAAAGTTTCCAGAGGAATACCAGCTCAATCAGTCTCACGGGTTCTAAGTATCCGCTCCACCTCTTATATTCACAAACTGTTCCCATACAAACAAATCTGAAAAATGGAAGCATGTCTAGCAGATTTGAAAATAACTTTTTGAGAAGGACTGGATCAAAATTAAAAGCTATTTCTGTAGGAGAATTTACTACATTAAAAAAAAAAAAAAACACCCCGCAACGGGAGAGGCTACAGCAGTGAGAGGCCCATGTTCCTCAAAAAAAAAAACAAAACAGGGGCTTCCCTGGTGGCGCAGTGGTTGAGAGTCCGCCTGCCCGATGCAGGGGACGCGGGTTCGTGCCCCGGTCCAGGAAGATCCCACATGCCGCGGAGCGGCTGGGCCCGTGAGCCATGGCCGCTGAGCCTGCGCGTCCGGAGCCTGTGCTCCGCAACGGGAGAGGCCACAACAGTGAGAGGCCCACGTACCAAAAAAAAAAAAAAAAAAAAAAACCTTCAACAATACACAGACACTAAAGTACGAGTAAAAGAATAAAAGGAAAGAACACCAGTTCTACAATTCAACTATTTCTTCAGAACAATCTAATGACTTCACTGTAGAAGTAGAAAAGATGTCTAGAACTTAAGATGAAAAAGTGTGCTCTATATTTCCTCTCCCAAGAGACCCTCATATCTAAAAGGCAGTCAGTAGGTCTTGTTTTGGTGGGGTAAATAAATGAGACAAAATTGAAATAATCAACAGGATCTAAATGTATTACCAGCCACCAAAAATCAAAACAGAATTGTTTTGTGCTCAGAGAGAAGCATACGTGTGTAAAAGTGTATATGTGTGAATGTGTGTGTATATGTATTATAGATAAGAGCTAGAGTAAGTATGCTATTGAATCAACAGGCTCAAATATGAACATTAGATGTAAAACAAATAACGGTAGAATATAATTATAGATCAATGGAGGCAATATGAAGTCGAATTGATGTTTATGAATCATTAATTTGAATAATAACCAGTTTACATTGATAGTCAGACACTGGTGATAGAAAATATTACTAAAATTCACCTTACAACAAAGCAAGCCATGATAACTGAACTGGACCTTTGAATTAAAACAAAGAAACAAACAAAAGAAGCTGACAGGACCAAAAAAAAAGCCTTTCACAAAACCTTTCTGAAAATTGATGAAAGGTAAATTACAGAAACTCACGTTTCGCTTTAAATATATAAGAACATATGCCCCACCCCAAACAGTTTTTATAACAGGCTCGGAAAAAGTAACTTAAAAGACCTGTGCAGAGATATCAACAATTGGGAGGCAGGAAATAAATCTCACCTGATTACTGGTAGGATCACATTTGCCTAAACCGGTAGCTGAATCTTCAGCTATCAAAAGAGGCTCGCTTTTCTCACAGCTCTCCTGGCTGAGGAGCGTGTCCGCGTAGTTGGGCTGCGGGAAGATCACATGACTCCCCCGCGAGTCCGTGGTGAGCCAGGCCTCGTGGGAATAGGCCTGCAGGAAAGCCCGCACCCCGTCCACGCCCACAAAGTGAGAGGCGGGCACACCCGCTAACCCGCCTCCTGAAGCCTGGAGCAGGCGCGACGTGTGCCAGCGCCTCAGCCTGAGCGCCAGCAGCACAATGACAAAGGCGAGGAAGACACAGGAGACCGCAGCCACCGCCACCACCAGGTAGAGAGTGAGGCCTGAGTCGTCGGGGCTGGCGGAAGATTCAGGGCTGCCTAGATCAGCCAGGACGTCAGGGATGCTCTCGGCCACGGCCACAGTGAGTGTGACGGTGGCAGAGAGAGGGGGCTGGCCGTGGTCCTGGACGGCCACCACCAAGCTCTGCTTGAGCGCGTCTCTGTCCAGCAGGGCCCGCGCTGTGCGCACCTCGCCCGTGTGCAGCCCCACCGCGAAGAGTCCCGGCTCGCTGGCCTTGAGCAGGCGGTAGGACAGCCAGGCGTTCTGGCCTGAGTCTCTGTCCACAGCCACCACCTTGGTCACCAGGTAGCCGGGCTCTGCAGAGCGGGGTGCCAGCTCTACACCCGTGGAACCGTCGGTAGGGAGGGCGGGGTACAGAATTTCCGGCACGTTGTCATTCTGGTCCAGCACGAATATGCTCAGTGACACGTTGCTGCTGAGCGGTGGGTTCCCACTGTCATGTGCTGTCACCCACAACTGCAGTTCATGGAATTGCTCATAGTCGAAAGAACGCAGCGCATACAGAATGCCGGTGTCTGAGTTTATGGAGATGTAGGAGGATAGAGGTGCTCCCTGGAGGGTATCCTCTGCCAGAGAATAAGTGACCCGGGCATTCTCTTTGCTGTCCCTGTCGAGTGCAGTCACCGAGAAGAAGGAGGCCCCTCTAGGATTGTTTTCAGGAATGTAGGCAGAGTAAGAGGAGTGAGCAAAAGTGGGCGGGTTATCGTTGTCATCTGCTACATTCAGTGAAATATGAGTTTCTGTAGACAAGGGTGGACTTCCCCGATCTGTGGCTGTCAACGTTATATTATAGCTCTGTACCTGCTCCCTGTCCAGTGCTCTGTTTGTTATCAACTTGTAATAATTTCCGTAAGTCTTTTCTAATTTAAAAGGCATATTGTTAGGAATGAAACAGGAGACTTGACCATTTTCTCCGGAGTCTTGATCTTGCACATTTAGAAGAGCAATCACAGTACCTGGAGGAGAGTTTTCCAGCACTGAATTCGTAGAAGATGTGATAGTTATTTCTGGAGCATTATCATTCACATCCACAACTGTGACCAACATCTTAGCAGTGGTGGAGAGACCTCCACCATCTTGGCCTTGAATTTCCATCTCATAGAATCTGTATTTCTCAAAATCCAGAGAACCTTGTATTAAGACTTCTCCAGATTGAGAATCCAACTGGAATATCTCAGAAGCTTTGCTTTCCATATTCAGGAATGAATATACCACTTCCCCATTGATTCCCTCATCTGGATCAGTTGCGTTTACCATAAGCACCCGAGTTCCGGAGCTGAGGTTCTCAGGAACACTCACTCTATATACAGACTGTGTAAACTTTGGGATATGGTCATTTACATCGAGAACCACCACGCGGATGGAAACAGTGCCCTGGCGGATGGGATCTCCTCCATCCAAGGCTGTGAGGAGGAGGTGATGAGCAGCCTCTTTTTCCCGGTCCAGGCTCCCCTCCAGCACTAGCTCAGGATTCTTGGCCCCATCCGTTGTGCCTCGCACTTGCAAAGAAAAGTAATTATTAGGGTTGAGCTGGTAGCGCTGGAGGGAGTTCATTCCCACATCTGGATCCCTAGCATTAGGAAGAGGAAATCGCGATCCCGGAGTTGCATGCTCACTGACTTTTATCTCTACTTCCTCCTCCCGGAAGCTGGGGGCGTTATCATTAATATCCATTATTTCCACCTCCACTCCATAAATCTTAAGGGTATCTTCCACAAGTATCTCCAGGTTTAAAAAACAGGAGGAAACCGCCTCACAAAGCTCCTCCCGGTCTATACTATCAGCAGTGATCAAGCTGCCACTTCGCGGATTCAGAGCGAAAAGCTGAGTCTTTCCTCCGGAGACGATGCGGACTCCGCGCTCCGCCAGCTCCCTGGGCTCCAGCCCCAGGTCCTTGGAAATATTGCCCACGAAGAAGCCTTTGTATGTCTCTTCCAGCACCGAGTATCGGATCTGCCCAGCCCCAGACTCCCGCAGCGTCCCCAGGAAAATATACAGTAGGACCAGCCCGCTGCGGTCCAGGAGCAGCTGCCGATTCGCCATGGCAGTGGCTGAGCCTATATTCCGCGGTTTCTTGAGCTGTTTGGTTCTGAATCAGCTTATGCATCTACACAGTCACTCGCCAAGTACATCCAAAATATATTAGAGAGCGAAGAGAAGTACTTTTAAGTTTCCAGCATCACGATCTGTGAGTATCCACTTCACTCTGCTTTGTGTTGTAGAGGTAGGGGAGGGAGGGACTCTAGCTCGCAGCTTCCCGTTTCCCTAATTGGTGAACAGCGGCGCCTAGAGCCCAATCTTATTATTGCAACGAGAAAGAAAAACTCAACTAATGTTGCTGTTCCTGAAGTTATCTCACTTACCTCTTTGAGAATCACAAGTATTTGTAAAGCTTAAAATTGCAGACAATAAAGTATTATGTAATGGGATGTTAAAGGTTTACCAAGAGCACTTATGAAAAGAGTGATTATTTAAAAGGCTTGCTAATTAAAAAAAAATTCAAATACTACTGGAACTGAAAACTTGCAGGTTAGATTTGGTTCCTCCTGATTTTTACTGACTGAAGGGAACAGCATTTGTGGTTGTGTAACTAGCACGGTTCCAACAAAATCAACAGTTAGGATTATGACTATAATTCTTACCAATGTTTATTGAGTAAAATAAAGATAAAATGTTTGAGAAAATTTGGATGGCATTTAAAATACCACAATATAAATATATAACTGTATTCCATATCCTTAATTAAAAGGTGTTCTATTTCATGAAAAACTGACCAGAGACTGCTCTATATATTTTACCTTAAAATGCACTTGAGTGGTAGAAAGAATGCAGCATTGTAAACTTTAGTCTTAATAGTAATACCCATAGGTTTGATTAGATTTTAGGAACTTCATCAAGAGAGGGAATCTAGAAACTCGAAATAACAGTGTTATATTAGAAT